TGGATTACAGTGCACAGTCAGCAGCACACCAGCTCCTGTGTCACTCCTTGGTCCAGTAACCCCCTGCATTCTGTTCCATGGCACCAACGGATGTGGCAGTGACATCCAAAGCTGCTCCCTCGTGAACCCCCTCAGAAATCATTAAATCCTTTCATGCAGGGAAACAAAACCAACCCCCAAACCATCAGACCCCACTCTATATAAAGTTCCAGTGCCATATTCCCTCTACTGCACCTGAACACAGGGCTCCTGTTTGCAGCCCAGGCACTTCCAGCTTCAAAAAAATTTTCTCTTTTCCAAAACAAACAATCCCCAAATTGAAGTGCTCCAGGTCACAAAGGAAAGCAGCCAGGATGTTTACAACATACAGCAGGACTCCTGCCCAGGGCAAATCAGCTGCAGAGCAAATGAAAGCAGAGCTCAGAAGGCAGGAGGTGATTTCTGTCTGGATAGGAACCTACCTGAGTCTGCAGGGAACAGATCCCAGCTCCTACCTTGGTAATAACAGCAACATTCCTCCCTGTTGTACAGCACTTCTGTATCTGTAAAACTCTGAAAAACATCAGTRACAAGGAGGTTGAAGGGAAACTGCAGTGAAGTGTCTGTAAATCCAGCGAGTCCAAGGCAGAKCTGGATGATGCAGGGCCCTGACTGCTCCAGAATTCAGACACACACAGGGTACAGACCTTGCAGGATGCAAACCACTGATACCTGAGCTCAGCTGCAAGAAAAGTCTGTACAGAAATCACCACTGGTACTGTGCCTGCTCCTGATGACTGAAATTTGACATTTTAATGCCCTTTAAAGCTGGTTTTGAGTAAGGCCATTCACACTGCCTAAGTTGATCGAAATAATTAATCCAGGCCTGTCAGGATCTTCAAGGATGCAATAAAAACATTTCACCTCCAAGAAATGGAAAGCCAGATGTTATTTCCTGAGGCAGAGGAAGGCTGGGATTCAGCTCTGAACCTTCTCCTCCAGCTCTGCAAAACACACTGTGTTATGAGAGGTGGATCAGAGCTTGGCAGCAAAAGTACAACAGCGCATTCTGAGTGTCTGAAGGAAGATCTCTCCCTTTTTGGGCCACCCAAAGAGCGCCTGCTTTTCTTGGAAGATTCCTCTAAAGCTTTTCCACTCCCTTAATGAATGCCTCAAGCACTATATGGTGATAATCAGACTTTAAAGCCTTTTCTAGTTACAGACATATTTCAAATTAGATCTGTGCTCAACTCTGGCCTCTAAAACATTGTTTCCTGGTTTAATTAGAAATGGTTTACTGGAGAAGGCAAAAGCACARAGAAGAGAAGGCAAAGTGAGAGAAATCTGTACAAACAATAAACAAATCCACCATACCAATGTCCCGTGTGGGGCTTCTCCACCTCCCAGTTAATCCACACCCCACAGCTGGAATAGAGATTTTGTTTTCATAGCATATAATAAACCTTCCAGGCCTGGCTGAAAGTAAAGAAATCACCAAACTTCTTTACTTTCAGAGGGGYAGAGCACACAGGTACCAACAAGCACAAATATTCCCAAGGGGCTACAACTCCTGCAGTGTCTGAAGGCCGTGTCATGTTGTTTRTACAATGCACTGGCTTTTCTCAGTTCATCCTTCTCAACAGATCACCCAAGAYGCTGAGTTTGGAGTGGATGTGCAAGTCTTTCTCAAAGGTGAAGCCAAGTGTTGTTCATTTGACTGTWGAGCAGTGTCATAAATCAATATGAAACAAGAGTAGCAATTAAAAACTCTATTCCACCCTACCCAACAGTTACATTTTCAGTGAAAAGATTAAACCACATAAATACCTCAGTTTTGTTCTTGAAAAGCTTTGCCAGCTCAGGAGTGCCATGACAGAGGGAGGATCAGTGTCAGCCCAGCCCAGGGCAGCCCCTCCTGGAGCCCCCTCAATTCACACTGAACCCCCTCTGCACCAAAGTCAAAATCTCCAGAATCTTTTGGACTCATTCCTCRTTTATTTTAATAAAGAAATTTCTTATCTGGCCCCAACAAAAAGGGGTAAAAGAATTACTTTCACATAGAACTTTACAGAGCTGCAACTGAATGAAAAGGAGCATTTTCATAAATAGATGAACAGTTGCTCTCACTACACGGTATTTATTTGCTCAAGATAACTTCCTCCTTGTGCTCACAAGTCCATTATTCCTTTTGCAGGCAGTCCATGGTTTCTCTCCAGCTTTTCCCCCATTTTGAGACCACACCAGCATCCTGTCAGAATTTCTTGCCATGAAAATGGTCAYATTGTCACAGTCAGATTCTAGAATTGTTACTGCAAATAATTAACAACCATACAAATAAAACCAGGAACATGTAAAAGGAGCTCAGCTTTAATAGATTCTGAAACATCTTGAAGTCAGTGCAACCCACAGCAAAATCCAGAAGTTTTGTAAAAACCACCTGCACACGTGAGAGAGAATGAAGTGCTGGGTTTTAGGCAGTAGTGCTGGAGACTGTGTGCAGATTCCTGAACAGTCAGTGCACCTCGGGAGTTTCACTGCAGCTTTGTCACTCTCAACATGTCTGTGTGTGTTTTAAGGCCCTGCAGCTACCAAGGGAGTAAACCTGAGAGTGTCCCTGTACACTCAGAGCTGGACAGCCAAGCACTGCCTCTTGGGACAGTGCTCAGGACCAGGGCATTGTCCCAGGAGGCACAGAAATGCCCCATCACCAAACTGCTGCAAGGAGGGAAACCATGCACAACATTTCCAGCTACTAGAAACTCAGTTTATTAAAGCCCAGTGTAAGCTGGATTTAAGTTAATGACCATTAACTGTTCCTAATGTGAGAGCTAGTCTTGTGTAGCAATTAAAGGGTTAAAGTGGAACTCTTTAGTATTTTAAACAAGTTCACATATTCTCTATACAAATTTGGCCAATTCACGTCACAGCCATAGATCTCATTTTTGCAATTCCTGCAAAATATCTGCAGCTCCTCTGTCAGAAGCAAAGAGAAGCCCCTGGCAGGCAGGAGTGGCAGTGCTGCTTCCAACCTCACCAGGTGGACTTCTTGAACCAAATCTGCTTTGACACATGCTCCCAAAAGAGCTCGAGGCCACAGAGCAGCTGAGGATGGAAAAACTGATTGCATCAGAAACACTGCAGCCAAAAGGAAATCAAACCCATGACTCCAAAGCCAATCAAAAAACCAAAACAACCCCCCCCAAAAGCAAGCGTTTATATGTGTGTAGATGTAATAAATATTGCAAAGCACATTTGTCTTYCCCCCAAGTCAAAAAGTGTAAAGAAATAACCAATGCACCAAAACATCAGCTTCCTGCAAGGAAAATGTTGGAGTCAGCAATACCTGCAAGCCAGCTGAAGGGAAACCTTTTGCATTGTCACCAATCACAAGTTGCTTCCAGTTCTATGCAGCCAAATCAAACCCTCTTCAAATTCACAAGTTTGACCTAAATAAGCASCACAGCATGAAAAGCTTCTTTAGAAGTAGGATGTCAAGAGACTTCCTTAAAAATATAAAATAAAATGTGAGATAAAAGGTTTCCATTGGTCAAGTTTGAAAAATTGCCTTCCTTTAGCCAACCACAGCCTTCCCTTTGAGCCAACCAAAGCCACACCTTTAGGTTTGTCCTTAATGAACACAGCCCGGCTGAGTTGCAAAATCTGACAGGAATAGATGGCTGTGAGATGCATTCTGAGGGTTGGGCAAAGGGAAACAACATTACAAAGGAGAAGGAATTCCAAGGAACAATTAGGGTGGGCAGAGGAACTTATTAATGCTCAGCCATCCTCCTCTATCTTCAGGAATCTCACTGTCCYCTCCATTCCGTGTTGTTCAGGTCTCCTGTAGTTACTGCCTTCTGTCTTCTGTCTCTGATCTGGAAAATGCCATCACCACATCCTCAGCACCTGCAGAAACAATGGATACAGGAAAGCTGTGCCATAATTGCTTCCTTTAAAGAACAGCAGAGAGATGCAATACCCAAACTGTCATTCTCCATACCCAAATAACGAACGGGAAAGCAAAAAYAAGACAGAAAGACAATTTTTGGGGGGGACTGGGATTCAAAAGCAAAGTTCAAATTCAACTCAGATGGARCATCAGCATGTAAAATTCCTCCAGTCTTCTACCTGAAGCATACCAAGAAGTAAATCTCAGTTTCGTGCCCCAAGCAACTTCTGCCTATGCACCTGCACRAGAGGTAAAGAGGACTAATAAAAATTCCTCATCTGTTTTCATTATATGAATTCYATTTCTCAGTTATCTAACCTGCTCTTCAGTTGCAATGCAGCAGGAAAAGTGGTCAAAAAATGGTTGTAAATTCCCCTCGCTAATGTCCTTAAAAGCTAAATCAATGCTCATGAAATGCAACTACATTTATTTTTACACATTTCACAATTTATTTGTTATATGTACTCAAAGGAGGAAATATTAAGGACCAAGCAGTAGTTTGTTTTTCACATGTAGGGCCCTTATCTTATATAAAACTACATCAAAAACTGCTCTGATGCACCCTCTTGCCAGCATTCAGAAGCCCTGCAGTCATCTCCCTTTTCATCTCCTCCACAAACCGCTTCTTCCTTGATCAAAACAGRAATGATCCACAGCCTGGATCCAGCTCAGAATTAACAAGCTGCCTTGTTGATTTGAAAACACGTAAGAACTAGCAGCCTCTAAAAAATGCAGGATTTTCTTGACAAGGATGCTGACAGACCCTTCATGCTGCACGAGGGTCCCTGCACAAGGACAGACACAGCAGCATCCCCGTGGATGGAGGAACAGCTGGGGTTGCCAGGCAACCACAGAATCACAGAGAACGTCACCAGCACAGCCATGAGCTGATTATTTAACAGATGTTGATTGTTTTCCTGGAGYCTCCCCCTTCCAGAGTCTAAATGTAACAAAATTCCTACAGGCTTCCTTAGGCTGCCCAGGGAGGGAGGGTGATCCCATCCCAAATAACCCCACAATGGCACAAACACAGAGCTCTGTGCCCCTGCCTGTCCGAGCCCTGCTCTGTGCTCAGGCACAGCACAGCCCTGCATGGAAAACACCCTGCAGTGCAAGGACTCGAGCCTGGGCTCCTTTCTTCTATTGCCACATTAAAGATCAAATTTTACCCTTAGTGAAGTGACAATTGCTACAAAGACAAACAGAAAGCTCCTGTGAGCTGCCAGGGCTGGGCAGGATGAGCAGGGAGTGCAGGGAGCTCAAGGGACTCTGCAGCACCTCKGACCCTCCTGAGCCACCGAGGGAGCTCAGCCAGGCCTGGAGCAAAGGAACCACCCCAGCAAAGGAACTGGGGGACATTTGAGCAGAAAAGGGTGAGCCACATTTCTCAGCACAAAAGCAGGTTCTGTTCCAGCCCACTCCAGAACCCAAAGCACCCAGAGCTAAAGGAAGCCAAGCTAACGAGGCTGCTCATTAAATAATTCTCCAGTGCCCGTGCTCGTGTGGATACAAACCCCACCAAGAACAGAGCTGGGCCTCCTGCGTGCCCCGAGGGAACAGGGACTCAAACATCAGCAAACAGAGCTGTTCTGCAGCCCCACCTGGCTCCCACAACGGATGTTTTGGTACATTAGGAACACAGTAATGGCAAAAGCAGAGCACAGGTTACAAAGTTGAGCTGCACATTGCCCAGAGCCTGCCACTGAGACAATAGGACGGTGAAGTGTTTGCTGTGAGCACATCCTTCCCWGAGCTCTGCACTTCCAGCAATTAATGCACACAACAATGACAGGGACACACTTTTACCTGACCTGCCACATCTACACACACACAGCTCCTGTCTGCACAGCTGTCCCTTTCTGRGCACACATTTCTACCCTGAAACAGGCTTGTGCTCAACAGAGTCAAACCACGATGAGAAGAGCTCCATCTCCACTCTCCATCACAGTCCCCTYGAASCCCMGGAGCAGCCTGGGCTGGTTTTTGGWGTCTCATCACCCCTAGAACAGGTCTAACCCAGCCAGGCTCGTGTTTAATCTCAGCCATGCCCTCCCTTGGGCCCAGCTTTTCCAGGAGCCAGCACGACTCTCCTGTTGCTATAGGAACAGCAGAGCTGCAGCACCAAGGTCTCAGCATCATTCCCACCTCGTGCTTCCTCYGGCTCTGCTCCCATTTCCAGAGCTGCCCCTTCAGCCAGCCCAGAGCCAGCCCAGCCCTGCAAATGAACAACTGGGGAGCAGCAAATGAGGGGTATTTGCACGAGATGGTCTGTGCATAGCAATTCCTGAAAGCATTCTGCTCATACCCAAAAACATGTGAGAGCCTGAACGGGATCCTTTCAGTGTGGAGAGACCACGAGTGTGAGCTGCAGAAGCTCCTGCTGCAATGCAGGCAAGACCAATGTGTGAGGATCCCAAAACAGCTCAGGATTCCATCCCTCTCCAGCACACACTGCTCGAACTGAGATGATCTGGGCTCCTCAGTTATTCTTGGAGCCATAAAAACAAAACAACAAACACTCCACAGATGTCAGCTAAAGAGCTCCCCGTGCAACAAAAAACACCCTGGATTTTGCACTTCCATAAAGGTGTTAACAATGACTGAAAGATAAACTGGTTATAAAAAATTAATGTTAATTATAATATCTCATCTTCCAATAAAAATAAACATAAATTGAAAGGGAGTCCTAGCCTTCAGGCTTGATWAAAAATTACAGAGAATTGTAAGATRCTTCTCGATCTAAATCAGCCATGAACTTCCATTGCTGGATGCTCAGATGACAAACAGAGTTATGGAGCCAGACTGGAACTGGAGCCAGACTGCAGCTTTTTGAAGGGACACACAGGAACCTGCAGCTCCRTCACAAAGCTCTCAGGGTGCTCAGGCCAACAGTGTCATTCTATTTTTTGGAACAAAACAGGGATGTGAAGTCAGCTTTGTGTCTTTTGTGCCTGCTGGAGAAAAATGAGTCTAAAGATACATCAGGGACAAGCCAGGCTGAGAGCAACCTGTCCTACTCTGGAACAAAAGACTGGGAACTGCACTGAAGTGCTAACTTGGTGTAAGTTACTCCCTAAATAACACCCCTTTTTGTTGTTGTGGAAGACAAGTTGCATAAATGGAAAAAAAATCCTCCCGAGGAGATTCAATGAAAACAGAAAAGCAGAGAAGCAAATTCCTTTGAGCAACAGAACAGTGAGMGTGTGGATTTGCAGGGGTTTTTCAGCACAAGGCAATGCCATCTAGTGGAGATGGGATCTCTCTCGAGGTTGAACACCAAACACTCACAGCGTGGTGTTCCCAACTGCACTAATTCCATTCTGGGCCATTTCTGTTTCACAAACCCCAGCACAGCACAGGGTCCAGCGAGCACAGAGCATTATCAGTGCTGACTGTTGGAAACCTGCAGGGATTTCTRAGAACATCAAAATCCTGAGCAATAAACTCTGGCTGCTTCTGTCTGTGCAGCACACAGTGAAGCTGGATGGAGCAGCTGTAGGAAGTGTCTGGGCACCCAGGCTGCATTTCTGATTTTATCACCTTTTCTTTGCCAAAGTGCAGGTTATTCAGTGTAGCTTCTCATGTGAAAAATGTCATTTTTAAGGATGATGCTGAAAAACGACAACTGCAGTAAAGTCTCTCCTAACTGAATGTGTCCACCTCAGTTCTTGATGAGAAACAAGCAAATTTTCCTCTTCAGACTGGCAGAAAAGTTGTGTATTTTGGCTCAGAATTCTTCAGGTACATCCACCTCCATCAAGCCCCAGCTATGTGAGGAATGAGCTCACAGGCTCAAAGCACAGCAGCAAGTTGGTGCAGGTTGTGTTTGTCATGGATTTCTAAATGTCTCAGATCTATACAAACTTTCTGCTCTGCTCAGTTCTTTCTGGCATCAATCTCACAATGTTCTCCAATACCAAACTGCACCTTAGAACTGATCTGGCACAAGGGCTGTGCAGGGGAGGGAGAGGAATCCAGGGAGAAACATTCRGGTTCAGAACAGATTGGTGGATTCAGAACAGCTCCACACAATGGTTTACCAAGACTTGTGCAAAGAATTAACAAAACCAGCACGTTGTTCATCCCCTGAATGGGAATCCAAACAAATGAAAGCAGATTTGCAAACTTAYTACATGTCTGCTACCCCTGTCTGTGAATGAATTACATTGTGCCATTAAAGAAATCCAGTGAGAAACAAACTCCTCCTATTGCTAATCCTTCCCTCTTACTCTGCTGGAATTGTAACATTGCACTTCACTTCCACACTCTTGCAAAAGTGAAAAACAGAAGATGTCATTAAATAACTCCCAGTTTGAGGTGCTTCACGCCACCCCCAGCTTTGTTCCTCTTTAAGCACACACGTCCAGTTTAAGAATAGACAGAAATATTAAGATCAAGATGGCTCAAAATACTCTTCACCCTAATGCATCTTCAAAATATCAGACTGACTTTACCATTCAAATCAAACCACTTTTTGAAAAAGTTCACTCTGGTTCTCTTCCAGAGCCTGCTGCAAGCCAGAACTTGCCTATCCCRGACTGCAGGATGGGTTTAAGCAGGTGGCACACTGTTCTGGAATTACAGGAAGCTAAAAGCGGGGTTTGAGGCAGGGGGGGCAGGGGGAGGCAGGGGACAGACAGGGGACAGAAAGGGGACACAAAGGGGACACAAAGGGGACACAAAGGGGACACAAAGGGGACAGAAAGGGGACAGAAAGGGGACAGAAAGGGGACAGAAAGGGGACAGAAAGGGGACAGAAAGGGGACAGAAAGGGGACAGACAGGGGACAGACAGGGGACAGACAGGGGACAGACAGGGGACAGACAGGACTCACCCTGGTCGATGGAGTGCTGGGGCAGCTGGCTCAGCTGGCTGTTCACCACCCCCGCGTAGGTGCGCAGGAATTCCTCCTCGCTGGCTGTCAGCTGGGGACACAGAGGGACTCAGCAAACCCAAACCTCTGCAAACAGTGGAGGGCACCTGCTCTGCCCTGTCCTGCCCTGCCCAGCAAAGCCCAGCCCAGTCCAGTCCAGCCCTGCCCTGCCCAGCCCAACCCAGCCCAACCCAGCCCAGCCCAGCCCAGTCCTGCCCTGCCCTGCCCAGCCCTCACCACCTCAATCTCCCTTCCTGGTGCAGCTCCAGCACCAGCACAGACACAGCAGCAAAACAGTTCATTGTGAACTCATGGGCACATGATGCAAAGGCACCTTAAAATAGTTGCTTTGCTGTTTTTCCAATAATGAAGTCTTTAAATCATTTATCTACATATGGTAGTTTCAGACATCACAAGCCTCATAACATTTAAGCAAAAATCAATGGTGTTTAACTGATAATGGTTAAATCCATGATGGCTCAAACAATTCAGCATTAAAACCAGACCATCCCCTGCCCATCCCAACAAGCACCACCCCACTCAGTCCAAAGCTGTCTGAAAAGCCACAGGAGATGGGCTGTGAAGTGCAGCTTACATTTGATCCCATCTTCCTGAGCATGAGCAGGACTCTCACTTTCTGCTGGATGTACATCTCCTCCGGACTCTTTCCGGGGACGCCCTCACGGTTCATTCCCCTCCTGCCAGCTCCTGGATTTCCTGCAGATACAAAATCACAAAAAGACAAACTCAAATAGGCAATGGGGTCTATCAGGAAGGAGAGGGAAAGTTTCATTTCCARAATACCTGGTTTTCACCCGTGGGCAGATCCCTGAATATCCTGGGAGAGTAARGAATCACATCCTTCCTCAGAGAAACCTTTAAAAACGTGAGCAGCCAACGGGGCCTTACATTTGCAACTGAAACACTGACAGAGGCTCATGTTCACATCCCCACCAGCTCATTATCTGTGCCCACGTTACTGCATCAGGAGAAAAGGAATTCTAACAACTAGATGAAAGAATCACCCTGACAGAAGACTCCGTGSTTTGGGTTTTTTCTATAAATAAGCACAAGCAAAATGAAAACAAGATGCAGAATGCACAGCCATCAAGCCTGCAATGGCTAAACAAAAGCTGTGTGAAATCTAAACTCTTTTTTCCTTCATGTATCATATAAAAAAGGCCCTTGCATTACTGWGAAAGTTATTAAAATTTATGAAATGGTTTTGAAAAGAAAACAGAGTTAAGAGGAGCAGGGAAAGAGTAGAGTTTTTCATCCTTTCTCGTATCATGTAGAAGCTGAGCTTTTGATTCTTATTTTAATAAAAATAATTATGTTATGGAATAAACACACTGTGCTATCTAAAGCATAATTATACTTTATTATATGAGGATCTGGTAATTATTTAAGTTCCACAACAGGGTGTTTACCAAGACAAAAAAAACATTCAGGCATTCTCTTCAGCTTCTTTTAAGAATGATCTTGAACCATGTTGGTTATAAAGTCAACAATAGTAAAGTAAATGAAATATAAAAAATAAAGGTGTTTCAAATAACACACAAGTCCAGCTTCTCTGAACCACTCACACCTCAGAGAAGCAGCTCCAAAACAGGTCTGCAATTAGTTTTGATTCCCAGAACTGGGTCTGGTCCTGTACCAAGCTATGAATGTGATTTCCTGAACCTGGTGATGAAGGGAATACACTGCACAAGGTTTGCATGGTGAAGGCTGCAGCCCAGCAGGTCCAAACACAGTTTGCCTGTTATGTTTTCCTGCAGTTATTATTAACCTCTCCCCTCACTTAATTTTCATTATTTCTTTTAAGGGAAAGTAATCTGGGTGTGGAAAGTGTTTAAAATTACACATAGGCCCTCCTAAGTGAGTCAGAAGCAATGCAAACTTCAGCAGCAGCTGCTGGGCCAGGCTTTGCCACCCACATTACTGAGCATGGAGATAAGAGCAGGAAAAAGTGAGACAGATCCAGCACCAGGAGGTTTCAGTGGGAAGATCTGCATGARGCTGATTTGCTGGGGATGGCTCTCTTGGAAACCTGCAGCCCATGCATGTGCAAGGTGATGACTGCTGAGGATTTTTATAACAGCACCAAACTGCTCTCTGAAGGGGAATTAAACAACCCCAATGTTCTGTGTCAATGCAAGTAGGGAAACTGGATTATGCTAGTAACCCATCAATGTAGAAAAGAAAAATCATGATGAAGCAAAAGGCTGAAATGTAGTAACACGTGAATTGTTTGACAATGCAAGAGAAGGTGTGGATATCAGCAGGTGGCACCATCCACAAGCACCACACAAATGCCAGGGCTGCCCCCAGCATCTTCCAGCTGGGAGGATCCCACTCCAGAGTTCCTCTGCACAGCACATACACAAAACCTGCACTCTAACAGGTTACTATTCATTGTTCCCCCCCACAACTATCTTCCAGGTGTTTATCCATTTTCACAATTTAAACAGGAGTGAATGGGAAAGCCTATCTAAGTCTGGTTCTTCTAAAATAACCTTCAGCCAAGAGGGATTTCTCATGAAGCCACCAATTCAACAGGAAGGATAAAAATGCTAAAGCTCCCCCATTCAGTGAATGCTTCACACAATYAGCAAGCAGCACAGGGGAAAAGCACTCAATATGGCTCCAAAAGGATGGATAAAGAGGTAAAATTAAACTTTCAGAGCAACAGTACTTGGCTCTTCCTACAGCACAATYATTCTGGGCAACAGCCACCACAGCTCTTCCCACTCAAAGCCATCTGAGTGGAAGGACAGAGGTTTTAAAACAGCCCTGAGACCCCAGCAGGAGCAATGTGAACACATCCCTGTTTCCTGTTACATAAAGCCTTTAGAAGGCACAGTTTATGTTTACAACATTACCCAGCAYATGCTACATGAGAAAATCTCCAAAGCCACATGCAAAGCTGGTCCATGCCCAAAGACAGCACAATCCACCTTTGCAAATGAAGGACTGAAAAAYCTTATCAAAGAACTTATCAACCTTGTTCTCTGCAGAAAGCTCCATTACCATGCTGCACATTATGAAATGTCCCTCAAGCAGCATTTCCCTGCCCCCACATGGATGAGTGGTCATTGCCCATCCCCAACCAACAGAACCCAGATTTCCCTGCCAACATACCTGGAAACCACAGGAGATCAGATAATGCACGTGTTCAGTCCTGATCAGGGATGGGAGCTGGCARAATGGAAGAGGGAACTGCCCTGTGAACACAAATGAGCAAAGCATTACATCCTGATTTCAATATGCTTCACTCCCAGGCTGCTTTAGAACATGGCCAAGGTAAAATCCATCCAACTGCACGCTTGTCTGGAGCTGTTAAACATCATCTTTTTCTGTTTAAAGAGTAAGTGTTTTAAAATCGAGCCATTCCTCATGGGCAGGATTTCCACCCTGACCATACCAATGACATTCCCAACCACTTGAGAATGAATTGCATTCAGGCTTTGCATTTTTTAGGGAGCTCTCAGCACAGAACCCAACTCCATGGAAAAAACAGGAAACACTGTGATATACAACTGCTTCTGGAAAAAAAAAAAAACAAAATAGGTGTAATTTACCAAGGATTTGAGAAGAACTAGGGAGAAATCTAAACTATGCTGATTTTGACCAAAATTAYTGTTTTCAACCATGCCTATGTTATCTGAATACAGCAATTACAAAGACTGGCATTTGAAAGCTGGGCTGGAAAACTCTTTGCACTGAATTTTTCTCTCACTTAAGAGATCAGGCTGCTTCCCCAAACACTGTGAGACTAAATCAGTTTTTCAGCTAAAATGAGGCACACTCATTGAAATGAAACAAGTTTATAAAGTACATGTCACTGAATTACARCAACTTAAGAAAACTGAGCCAGCATCCAGATGGAAAGTGCCAAGGGCAAGATGCTGGCAGCTGAGTGTCAGCTGATWGCAAAGATAAAAACTGATTCTGCACAACTCACACATCTCCAACCAACTTACCAACAGCACCAAAGAATCCCACTGTTTATACTTAAACCACAGAATTCATGTATTTACCTATTCTTGCCAAGAATATATTGCATGAGAAACATTCCCTGTGTRTTTTCAGCACAAAAAGCCAGACAGGGTGACAGAAAAACAAGAACTGCTGTGTACTGGACGGAAGGAATGCCCACAGAAAGAGAACTCCAGTGTTAAACTGCCCACCCAAGGGAATGAACAGAACCCAGGCCCATGATCACTGACAAAGCCTGGCCTAAGCAGAGGAGGAGCTCAGCCCAATTTCTGCAATCACGTCCTGGAGGGACAGAACCACAGCAGGAGAGGCCAAGGCTGATGGAGCCATTCTGAAAGCACTCTGCTGTCACATCTGAACTGCTCTCTCCAGGTGAGGCTGAGGCAGATATGCAGAGCCAACAGGAACATTCAGGCTGCCAGGACTCATCTCTTGCAGCCAAATGTGGGCCTAACCCCCAGTGCCACTTTTCAATTCCTTTCTCACAAAAAAGACAGACCTGTGCATTTCAAAAGCTGCAGTGTTGTCAGARATGACTGCACTCTTCACTAAACTGTGCTAAAAGACTAAATCCTTCAAGCTTGTCCTGCTGCATCCAACACACTGCAAATGGACATAATTGGGTCACCTAATTCTCCCTTGTTTGCCAGGCACAGGCAATGAAATTTAGTTCTCATTTATATTTCAGATGATTCACATGACAGAATAATAAACAACAAAGATCTATATATCACAGSCAAAGCTGGGCTGGCAGTTTTGGCAAAGCCAGAGCAATCCATGTGAGTTTAAAACACTCCCTCCTTTCCCCAGCAGTGCAGGAGGTCAGAACAGATGGAAAGCTGTCCTGCAGTCCAGCACTTCCCTCCCCACGCTGCCTGCAGAGGGCTGGGTGAGATCTCAGGAATTCCTTCTGCTCTGCAAGGCCCAACATGTGGAATGGGCAGAGCCAGGAACGCCTGACATCCCATCTGTGCCTGGCAAAGGGGACAGATCTCCAAACTGGGGACAGATCTCCAAACTGGGGACAGGGGGGTGCCAGCAGCAGCATCCTCACACCAAACTGGGGACAGCCTGGGTGCCAGCAGCACCCTCACACCAAACTGGGGACAGGCTGGGTGCCAGCAGCACCCTCACACCAAACTGGGGACAGG